ATTGTTGCTTTTTCTACTTTCTTCTGCTTAACGATAAAGAATTCTCAACACTAATAAAAGGGGAAAAAGAGATCGATTCTGGGAAATTCTGATGCTCAAAAGCCTTTTTTTTTTTTTGAATTTTTGTTTTGTTTTGGTGTAGCATTACTTTCTGTTTGTTTGGTAAAGAGATCAAGGGGAAAAAAATGAAAAATAGAAGAATAAGAAGAAGAATATAAAAATGTAAGTTATAGAAGATTGTACTTTGTCCCTGGCCCGGTTTTTGTTGCTTTTCTTCTCCTCCAAACGAATTTGATTCGAGAGAAAAAGGGAGAAGTTTTTTGGTTTTTGATGTGATCAGGTGTCCTTTTCAGCGATAAGTTTAAGGGAAAGTTAAAAATCTTGTGATTACGACAAATGCATGCGGGGTTAAAGCAGTTATAGAGAATAAACTAAAAGAAAGGGGAAGGCTGGATTTCTGTTAGTGCCTATTTACCTCTTATATACTGTACGTTGTCAATTGTCATGTTTTTGCTGAGAGAATTAAGGGACAAGAAGCCTTAAGTTAGTTAAAAGAAAAGCCTGATAGGAGCTAGTGATGCTGCCTTTTGTTATTACTACAAATCGGTATCCAAATCAAAAGACGTGTCAGTGGAGGACACACTTGCAAATTACCTCTTCAAACACTCTGCTATGAAGGCAATTTTTCATTTTATCCGCATTTTGTTTGTCTATATCTCGTGCTTAACTGGTTGAACATTTCTCATATGCTTGCCCGTTCTTGGACAGATTCCAGTTACATTCTTGTATATTCTTGCTATTAAGCATCTATGCCTGTATCTCAATATTGTAATGGGTTTCTGTAGATTGTGAGTTTATCAGATTTGGAGGCTGACTACTTAAACCCATATGAATCATCATCTCGCATCAACCATGTGGTGATTCCTGAGTATTTGCTGCATGGCGCATTCTCCATTCTATTTCTTCTGTCAGGGCACTGGTTCTTCTTCCTGGCTACTCTTCCAGCAGCTTACATCAATTTGAGGAAGTAAGGGTTTTAAACTATCAGGTTCTAGATTGGTTGATTGTCTGGCCCGTTTATGCATATGCTGGAGTTGTAACTTATAATCTGAACTGCACTCTCTGTAATTCTGCATTTATTCCATGCTATCCTGTTTTCTTTACGTGAACTGACTGTCTTTTTTTAACTTAGTCCCATGAAAGGTGTTCTCTGTTGAGCGAAATATGCTTTGTCATCATTTATTGTTTCATGAAGCCATTTAGATTTATGTGCAATGAACTCCAAATTTTTTCTTTGTTGTCATTTATGTTGTTTCTTGTGTTTCAGATTTATGAAGAGAGAACATCTTATTGATGTAACTGAAGTTTTCAGAGTCCTTAGTGTGGAGAAGAAGCTTCGGATTGTCAAGCTGGGATTCTATTTACTTCTCTTTGTACTCGTCATGACCAGGTTTGCCCCAAACTTTTTTTTTCATGGAAGCTGGGGATGCATGCATTTCTTGTTTTTAATTATGCTTAAAGACTTGGTGTTTGCTTGTAGAATATATGCTGCTGGGACATTTTCTGTTGTGATGTCCGTCTTCCATTCAGATAATGAAGAATTAGATATTCGCTCTTCCATTCTGGAATTTTGAGGAAAAAGTTGATATTATATTAGCTCAACATATTGTAATAATTCTTCTTAGAATGATTAGGGGACTGATGATTAACTGTTTGCGTGAAAATATTCTTTCAATGGATGTAAATATTAAATTTTGATGTAAACTGAGGACAAGTTACGCAAGTAGTTATTCTCATCTTGTATTCTTCTTTTTGGGACCTTTTTCATTTTCTATTTTCTTTTGCATAGTATGATTTTACTGGTATTACCCAGGAAACTTGAAGCGTATCTAGAGTAGACAGTGAGCTTTCTTATGTAACACTTTATGCAACATGTTTGCAAGCTAAATTTCAGAAGTATTATCATCTTGGGGATTAATTATAGCTTTGCCAGAGATACAATGGGTCTTAAAGTCTTTTATGATTTTCAAATCTGCCATACATATTCAAGAAGCCTAGTATATCCCCAGGCTAGGTTGACAAATGCTTTGGTTTAAATTTGGGTTGGAGAGTGGTGTAACTTCCGAAGGAATGGATTAAGAAAAGGTAAGCCAGAGGCTAAAGATGATGAAGGCAATTCTTAAGGTGAGAGAAGAGGAGAACCAAAGGAAAAAGAAATGCTAGTGAAGGACTTAGCACCGATAAGATGCATTGGATTATGAAGGAATTGTAATCTTTTCGGTGATGACCTAGAAATTACTGACCAAGTGAAGGAAAAAAAGAGAGAGATTCCTGAGAATGTCAATGGCCTTAAGAAGATACTAATTAGAGTAACAAGCAGAGTACGGAGAAGTTGGCTTCGTCTGTTGTTGGCACATTGGTATCATCAACTGGGTTTAAAGTGGTCTAAGTCGTCATAACTTTCAGCTTATTATCAGGCTTGTTGTTTTTGTCAAATTTAGGACCGAAGTAAAGATGGTGTATGTGCAACATAGGTACAGCGGTAATTGCTAAACGTTATCTGTGATCTTTGTTAGCTGTTGGTGCTTTATAATCGTGCCACCACATTCTTCCGAAGTTCTGGTGTTCATTGATAGAGTTTTTTAAGGTTTTCTGGGCGTGATGGTGTTTTGCTTTTCTAAACTTGGACTGATGCCCTTTAATTGCTGTTGCTTGACATGTGCATGCTTCAACTGAAGTAGACCTCTACCTTTTTCTGTGAGGATTCTAATTACTAAACTAATTTGCAGGCTTGTATTTGTTACTATCAATTCTGCAGTGGATGAAAGTGAAGCTACTCACCTTTTTGGCTTGTTCTGAACTCTTCCAGCTTTAGTGATGTGATTTATCTCTCTTCCTACTGGGCAGAAACATCTGTGAACCTGGATTTGGAGTCTGACCAACCAAACACATAACTCTCAAATCCAAGTTACTAACATAATTTTCTAGATGGCTGTGGAGTTATTAACCCTCTCGTATTACTATTTGCATGATGATGCATAACACGAAGCATGTATGATTAAGAACCGCCTATAGGTATTAGAGCTACCGATGTGGATTGCAACTTCAGCATAATCATTTCTTTTACCCATCTTGACTTTGAGTGGGTACACTTGATCTTATTAAAGTGCGTAACACAATGGTGTTTGCCTTGCCCTCTTTGCCGAAACGAACCTTTGCCATGCATTACAGAAGTTCAAAAACCAGTTACATACAGGAGGTCAATCTTAATGTACAGAACCATCTAATAAATCAATTTTTCTTTTCGTACTTTTGAGGGAGAATTGATTCCAAAATTGGTCAAAGCCCAAATCAAATTGTGATTTTTGGACAACTTGTTTCTATAGGATAGCCGTGAAATTGTTGCATTTGCCTCATCAGTCTGGTTTATTTGGTTTTGTTCTGATCTCACTCACTGTTTCTGCGGAGCTGAGAAACCATTACCATCTGGTTAATCCCTTATGCAGAAGCACAGCATGATAATTTTCAGTTTTCACTGATTTCCTGCAATACAACTGTCCTCGCAAAGTTGTAATTACGCAATTTCTTTCCAATGGAGCCTTATTCTCACGACCCCCCCCCCCCCCCCCACAAAAAAAAAAAAAAAGAATTAGTGAGTCCTAGGGTTGTAAAAGAACCGAGTCCTTAATGAATAGTTCAGACTAGACGCATTAAGGGTTTAATTCGAGTTCGATTTTTGGTGAGGTTGAACTCAAACTTATTTATGCATGTTCAACTTATTTAGGCTCGATTTGATTCGATTAATTTCTTTATGTTTTTCAGAAATATGTATTTATTTATTATTTTGTTATATAAGGATTATGTATGTATTATTAATAAATTAATGATAAAAATAAGAAAATAAAAAATTTTGAGCAAGTTTGAACTTGTTGAATGCTATATCGAATCGAAGTCGAACTCAAATTTTAAATTCGTATAGGATTCAAGTTCAAAATTTCTAGTCGAGCCTAACAGTTCAAAACTTTGATTCGATTCGTTTACAATTCTATCGAGTTAGTATTTTAACTCTTAAAACTTAGGGTACATTTGATAAAATTAAAGTTTGAAAACTAAAATATAAAGTCTGAAACTAGAATTCATTAGGTTAATTACTAAATACTAAATTTGATACATTTGAATGTATATCACATTAAGTGATAAGTGAATAGTTTATCACTTATTGTTTGGAGCAAGTTTTGTTAGGAAATTTAGTGTCACTTAATTAATTTAAATGTTCTATTTTTTATTATTAAATACATTGGAATATGTTAAGATCTGAACACATTAAATTTAAATGCTAAACTAGATTATTAAACTAGGTCCTGGTGTCATTTTATCACAAAAAATTAATTATCCAACCTATATTTTGGAAACTTACCCAATAAATCTTCAAACTAATTAATATATTAGTTGAATCATTAACCATGGTCACCAAAACTCATTGTTTTGAAAACTGGACCGGACCGCCTAGTTTGATTGGTCGAATCGCAAACCGGTCATAGCTCCGATCCGATTCATATCTCGGGTTGATTGGATTTAAAAATCGGTAAGAACCGTTTGAACCGTTAAACCAGCGGTTTTTTTCGTTTTTATCTATTAAATTGAAATATATATATATATAAATATATATATATATAAAGAATAGATTTTCCTTAACCCTAAAGACTAATTATTAAATGCCACATCCACTCGCTTTCTTCTCATTTTTTGCCTTTTATCAAGTTTGCATCTCTATTTTCTATTTTCCTAACTGGAAAAATCGCCAATTTAGTCCTCAAACTATTTTACTAAAGCCAATTTGGTCCCACAACATTTTATCGCATGAATTAAATTCCTTAACTAAAATTCTTGTGCCAATCGAGAACCTATACGGTGTCGCTACCCAAAACACATGTATCTGTACAGAAATCGACGGCGAGGCAGGGGCTTTTTTGGAAGTACACAATAGAATTTCTACGGGAAGCAAGACTGAATTTTTTATGGTGATTTAATTTGTTGTGGGTAAAAAATTTCCTTCCGAAAAAGAAATTCTTACAATGTTCGGATTCCACATACGAACTCGTTCCTTGGATTCTACAATTCCGGCGGGTTCGCCGAAACCAATAGTGGGAACTCCAAGATCCAGCAATGAAGGCTCTCCAAGAACTAAGGTGGGAGAGGTGGACACCAGCGCTCCATTTCAATCTGTCAAGGCCACGGTTAGCTTATTCGGTGATGCTGCAACCTCGCCTAGGTCCAACAACGACGACAACAACAAGAAGCAGCCCCTTCTATCTAGAAAGCCAAAAAATTCCTCTGCTGCTGATGAGGTATAATGTCCTAGTATTCTAAAGCAGCCCTTTTTTCTTTTTTTTGAACATAGAATCTATCGTAGTATCGAACAGCCAGCCACCATCACTTTTACCTCCATGGAATAGTGATTTTTTTTTTTGGTTAGGTGGGGAGCAGAGAGTGCTCGAGAAAGAATCCGTTCTTCACTTGGCCCTCAAGCAACTGGAGGACTTCAGGGCACGACTCAAATGCACAGAAACCACAAAAGCTCAAGCTTTCCGGGAACTGGAGAAAGCCAATAGAACGCTACAGGAACTGACAAACAAGCTCGAAATCATTAGTGAATCCAAGCAAGCGGCTATCGAGGAAACAGAAGCTGCAAAGCAAAGAGCCAAGGAGCTCGAGGAACACAAATCCAGCAGACAACACCTTGGGCATCGATGCTTGGAAACAGGACGTCAACAACGAAAGAGAACTATACAAGGCCTCCGCTGTTGAGCTCATTTCTGCTAAACAAGAGCTTACAACCCTCCGACAGGATTTTGATCAAGTCCTCGAAGCAAAACTAGCTGCATTTCAAGAGGCTGCGGACGCCCAGCACCTCACCCAAGTTTACCGAGACAGGCTAACTTGAATTTCCAGTGAAATCATCACCTTACGCGATACACTGGGAGAGGTCAAGTTGGCCACTCTTCAGGCGCAAGAAGAAGGAAATGAGCATCGTGAAGAAAAGCAGGCTCGCTTCCAATCTCACCAAACAACCAAGGAACAAGTAGAGCTGAAAATCAAATCCTTAAAAGAAGAATTTGATGCTAGCGAAATTCTCGAGGAAAAGCTCGAAGAAACAACGGAGGCAATCAAGCTTTTGCAAGAACAGCTGCAAAATGTTAGAGAATCAGATATGTTCTCTCTGAAAATCGCCACAGCAGAGCTTGATGATGCTACAAGGAAACTGCGAGAAATTGTGCAGGAACAAAACTTACAGAGAAGCTCAGTAGATTTCCTTAAGGAGGAGCTTGATAATGTCAAGAGGGACCATTCTGAATTGAAGGACAAGGCATCGGAAGCAGAATTAACAGTTGAAACTTTGCAAAGTGAATTGGAGAGATATAAAGCACAGCTCGACGCAGCTCTTGCAGGAGATCCCCAAGGAGAGTACGATGATATGTGCTTAAAACTCCAGCAGTTGGTGTCGGAGGCTGAAAATGCTAGGCAGGGAGCAGAAGAGATCAGGAAGGACATCTCATTACTTAAGCAAGATGCTGAAACAGCACGTGAACCAATTCCATCGGAATGGAATGGAAAACTGCTGCCATTCCTCGCTGCGGAATATTCATCCTCGAGCTTTTCCTTGCTCTGTTGTGCTGCCCGTGAACCAATTTCTCCATTCCACTCTGTTTTCGTCATCTTATCTCCCTCCATTGATGGCAATTTGCATCGGTGGAAAACCCCTAATTTCTTCCGCTATTTGGATGCAAAATGGGTTCTGTCTTGGAAAACCCCTAATTTCTCAGGTTTCCTCCAATTTGGATGCAAAATGGGTTCTCTGTCTTGCTTCCTGTAGAAATTCTATTGTGTACTTTCAAAAAAGCCCCTGCCTCGCCGTCGGTTTCTGTACAGATACATGTGTTTTGGGTGGCGATACCGTATAGGTCCTCGATTGGCACAAGAATTTTAGTTAAGAGACTTAATTCATGCGATAAAATGTTGAGGGACCAAATTGGCTTTAGTAAAATAGTTTGAGGACTAAATTGACGATTTTCCCTTCCTGACTTCCTCCAAACTTTTTTTTTTTTGTAAGTTGCAATTTCTAAATTCCAAAAACGTGAATTAAAAATTTAAACTCACAATGTCTAATTCCTATGGACGCGAATTTTGTATAATTTTAGAATATTGTGGTATTTTTGGGTTGGATTTAAGATTTTTTTTGATAGATACAATTGAAATTGAGATAAAATTTATTTGTTGCAACTTATAATTTAAAATGTTTGTTTATGAAAATCCAAGTTCTTTGAAAATATTAAACTTTTCATCATATAAAGTCTTAAATTAGTCCATTGCATATCTTATTTTGTACATATATATTTATATAAATTATTTTTAAAAAAAATTATTGAATCAGGATTGAACCAGTCCGACTGATTGACCCGAACACCTCGCTGGTTTCAAAACATTGCCTAAACTTTCTACTGAAACCGAAACAAACCAAACCATAGGCATTCAAAAAATGGAAACAGGGTGCTGTGCATTGCAACAGGTTGATTTTAAAGGACCAGATCCCATATTGGGCCCTTAGGTGACCTCCAAACCCTCCAAAATTGGACCCAAAAATCGTACAGGTCCACATTAACAGTGAAGATTCTCATTACTTGGGCCCACTCTATCTGACAACTGTCAAAAATGGCACATCCAGCCTGACCCGACAGAGGATGGGCTAACCCCCTCAAACACATTGGTACGGTGCCTTTCTCTTGGAAAGTCAAATTTCAGTGTCAATTGATAACGAATCCGATTGGGCCTATTTATCATCTCATAATGCTCAATGGACCCTACTAACACCCATTTGTTCGGGTTCAATTTGAAGAAGCCACAAACCATATAAAGGAATATTACTAAATCAACACACAAAGAAATCAATAGCCCACATTGGTCTATATGATCTAGTAATATTGGTAGGCACCACCCAAGATGGTGATTCTGCACTATGAAAACCATTAAGATCATTATGTAACCAATTTGCCATTATAAAGTTTGAAACTCGAAAACCTTACAACTAGAGTCGCCTCTTAAGGTAATGGGCTTGATCTTTACACGCCATAGCTATCCATGGTTTTAATGGTTTAAAGTAAGTTTTACTACGACTCGGGTGGTTCCACGCCATGTCTATCCATGGTTTTAATGGTTTAAAGTAAGAGGACGACAAGATGGTACTTATAGGCTAAACATTTGTACTTAATTGTAGGCCACGTAAATAGGGGAATGGGGCCTGTGATTGGATTTTTTTAATCCCACTTGATGTGTTTGGTCCTTGGCCCTCTCTACATCATGTTGGGTCATTGTCAGGGCCTGGACTGGACTGGAGTTGTCTTCCTGTTTGCAATGTGGGTCATAGTTGCCCAATATCATTAATTTCTGTTGGGTGTTCTAAACGTTGGTATCGTACTAGATGGGTCATAGTGTATGGGCCCCAACCGTTGGAACAATATCCATGAGATATCTTCCGATGTAATTGTACAGCTGTTGTTCATCGTTCATAATAGCGACTTTTAAAGGGTACAAAAAGCCATTTATATTTTGCAAATACATCTCCACGTATATATTTGCAAATACGTGGTCAAAATATACTACTTAAAAAATTATCGCGTCTTATTCACTAGAGCTGAAAAATGAAAAACAAATGAAGTTATTCAATGTTCGAATCTAACTTAGCTCTATTCGACTTCATTCGAACTACACGAACTCAGTTCGATAAAAATTTATTTGAATTCGAATTGATAAATGAACAAGTCAATCTTGAACACAATTTTAAGTTCGTTAAAAAAAATATGCAAGTTTGAACGCTCGAATGTTTAATTTGATTAGATTCAGTTATATTCCTACTGCTTGCAGTACTATATTTGTGACATATAAATAAATAACCTCTTCATAAGGATTACAAGCCAAATATTATACATGTATATATGTTTAAATAAATGAACTTGCTAGCATTAATTAAGACCCCAAAAAAAAAAATACTATACATCAATCGTTGGTAATTCAATAGTTTGTGGCAGGCGTAGTGGTGACTCTGCAATAATTAGTTGAATTTTAATTAATACAAGTATTTAAGCTCATTGGATTCAAATAAAATAGGTTCAGTATGCAATCACATTGTAAATTGTGCTGATCATTTAAGCACAATAATATAGAATATGGAATCATCCGATTACTTAAGTTAATCAAGATAATAAGCACTCTCTTGAATTAGTTTGCACCATAAAAATATGTCATGTGAAATTCGCTACTAATTAATATAAAAAGAAATGCTTAATTTATTTTTCTTCAAATTATTTCCTCAAAGTCAAGAACATTTAGAGTTATTTTGTTTCTATTCCATTTTTTCAGAATATATTCACAAAATATAAATTTTCCATTTTTGCCATCAATTATTTTATTTTCACAGTCTAGTAACAAATATCTTTTGCAATTAGTATCCTTAACATGCATAGCCAAGTACATGGTGCGATCTGGTCCATTTTAATCTTACCATGTTAATGAGTACCATATCGACTAGATCATTTTTCATTAGTGAAAGCTTTCAATTCCCTTTTAATTTTCTTTACTTTATCCATTAAAACATCCAAACATGATAATAGATTCTCCTTTCTCTCACTTTGCCTCCAAACTCCTCTTCCATACTAGGCGTACATATAAGTGTGAAATGTCATTTTTAATATAGTAGGAATTGTAATGAATTGTTGCGATTTTAGTTTCATTTGGTTTTGTATGGGAATGCCAAAGGGGAGAAGAAAAAGAGTAGCAAGAAGGAAAAAAAAAAAAAAAAGGATCCTTTAGAACTATCATTTCGCTTCTCGAACGTTTAATTACTTTGTTCAAGGAGCAATTGACGACCAAAATCCTGATGTAAGCCCAAGAAATGACTGAATACCCTAGTATTATTGCTCAAGGACATGAACAAGATACAATTATTAAGAACCTAGCATATGAAGCTTTTACATACATACACATATATATATATTTGTGTGTATATATATGCACATATACATATGTATGTATATTTATTTATTTTGATATGGAAAAATTTTATAAATAGCTAGTTTTTACAATTAACGAGCTCGACACATTGCATGTATAGCCTATAATGAACTATGAAAAATCCTATACTGAGCAACAATACAACTTAAGCAATAGAAATAAATTAATAGATGGTTCACCTCCTTGATTTTAGAGATTCTATGTTTGTGTCTATCATTTAGAGTTAAAAGATGACTCACTTTTTTTATTTTAAGGATTCTATATTTGTGTTTATCATTTAAGAATGTTGTGATTTTAAATTGCATATATTTTGCAGCTAAACTCATGAAATATGTACTTCACATTGAGTTCGCCTATAAAAAGCGACTCTAAATCACAAATTATTCATTAGTTTATTTCTATCTCTTATGTCGTATCTCGCTTAATATATGATTTTTCTTTCACATTAGGAATCTAAATCCCCTTCCCAATTCATATTTTAAGAGGAGGATTACCCCAACCAATTACTACAAGTTTTTAGAAACATATCTCCTGATCAATAACACTTATCAATTTAAGAAGCAGTTGTGCAATAAGTGCATCAGGGAGACGTGTAATAGAAGAACCCAAGTCATTTGATCCTTAACAATTGATACTCAAAATGGGGTAACTACTCCAAGATATTGATTTTGTGCACTTTGGACTGCGGAAAAAATTTAAGATATCAGCAAAGAATTCTGCTGAAACCTGAAGACACACTCTTCAGGTTTCAGGCAGAAGTAACCACTGGGCCAATGGCTCAGTGGCCACTAGGGAGGGGCTTAAGTTCCTCCTTGAGCTGTAGGTGAAGTTGAAAAAAATCTAAGGGTTATGTCAGAACACTCCCTTGGTCTAGTTAGGTCTGTATGCCCACTAGCCCCCCATCACAACTTCCTTAGACTTCCCCTCCCCCTAGATTATGATAGAGTAGGTTATACAAATGTATCGTTGCTGACAAAAAAAAAAAAAAAAGATTTCAGGCAGAAGCCCTGATGTAAGGGTGAAGAGAAAAGAATCCTCTTATTGATGCCCCTGGTGAAGGAAGATCAGAATGGGTAATGGCTGTTGCCTGTTGGCCATACATATCGATGGAGGAAATTAAGAGGTCATTTTAAAGCATGCAATGCAATGAATAGTTGCACAGTAGAAAATACCATGTACGTCGACAATAGGGGCCATGCTCATGTGAAGGGCACAATCAAATGGGACCACTACTATGGCCAGCTCCCAAAACAAATTAAAAAAAAAACGAAAAACATATTTTCTGGTAGTATCTTTTATATTCATATCTTATTATGGGACAGAAAATGTGGGTTTCTGGTCCAACTACTTAAAACTTACGACCATAATTGAAAATTTAACTTAATCAAAAAATCCTTCATGATTTAAAAAATAAATAAATATGAAAAGAAATCCGCATTGTTAAATGCAGAATTTGTCATAACTTGGAAATCTTTTGAAAAATCTGCTGCTTTATATACCGATAAATGGGTTTTGTAATTTGGATAAAAGATTATTCAGAAACCCTTTTTTTTAAAATTAATATGTAATACTTTTTTCTGATGTGATATATGAAAGATGAAAATACAGTCATAAAGATGACACTTTTTCTGATGTGATATATAAAAGGTAACTAACAACACATTTATATGTAATAGCAAAACCTTTGCAAAAAAAATATATCGTATGTGCAAATCATTCTTGTTTATCTGTCCACTTAACTACAATTATCTGGTACATAAGCTGATCAAATTTATGATTAACAATATATAACATTTA